GATGGATATCATTTCCATCATCCACCTCCTTTGCCACACCTTTCCTCATTGCTCTGCGCAAGTAGGAGGCATTTCTGACAGCTGACCTTCGACACGTCCAAGCCAAAGCTAAAGGCGGAGGAACCGAACGGCCACCCACAACGAGTGTGCCAAGCCAAAACTGGAGAAGCGATTGGTTGTCTCCTGTTCTCGTGCACCGTACCCCCACGTGAGATCACCGTCGGGGGAAGAAGTCCATGATTCTCCTTCGACACCGCCTCCCATTTCACAATCGATTCGTCCAACTTTTCCTGCGTGGCTTTGAGGAACTGTATCTCCTTCTTCAACTTGCGTTCCGTGTCTTTCAACTCCGCTAGCGCCTTGGTGTCCTGCTCTGACATGGTGGAAATGGCCAAAACCTTCGCGCCGTTCACGTCGCCGATCTCGGAGCCACCATCGCCATGGGGTTTGGGCCTCACTGGCATCGTCTCTAAGGCTTCTTCGGCGTATTGCAAGATCACGTTGGATTTCCATCTACCCAGGTACGCGACTTGCGGCACTTGCCAACCCTTTCTAATGTACTGCAAGGCCCCGGATCTTCTCCCCGAATGACCCGAAATGCTTTTCCCAAAGCACTTCCGCCAAGCGCTAATGAGCTGGTCTTTCGACACTTCACCTTCGCCGTCGCCGCAAACTAGTTTGTCTGTTTCCACGGGAACTGTTTCGAGGGTGGCCTTGGTGATTTTGTATGGGCACGGTCTCTGCCAGTTGCATTCTCCCCTGCACGAGCATTGCAGTGTCCTCTTCAATCCCTTTGCCTCCTGGTCACCCTTGGTGATGCGTAGAGTCAATGCCACCAATAATTCCTTCTCCTCGATCACGATGTCTTCCTTATAGATCGCCGCTAATTCGACTTCTCTCAACATCCATGTGGTGGCAAAGGCAAACAACAAGGCGGGGTAGTGGACTGCGCCCCTCTGCACTTCGTTCAGCTCCGCTTTGCATGCCGTGAACCATCTATCCTCCTCCACCTCCTTGGCTTTCTTTGGCGGCCCTTTTGCCCTGTTCAAAGCTCTCGTCGCCTGGGTGTATGCCCTCTGTAATTGCTGTGACCAGTACACGCCCGTCTCGATCGCCATGATCTTGTATTCAGACAAGTAGGTCACCCCTGCCTTGTACTCTGAAGACTTGAGTACTGCCCCTACTTGTTCCAACGTCTCTGGCGTCCAGCACTCATTGGATCCCTTCACGCCCAGGTTGAGCAAGATCTTGTCCACCGTCTTCCTTACCGATGCTCTTGCCCTCCTCGATGAGTTTGCATAATAGCCTTTCTTGAAGTTCACTAGAGTCCTGTTGTTCTTCGGCCCGCCTGACCTGAACATCTTTGCCGTTCGAATGGCTTTCAACCACTTCTGATTTCCTTTCAACTTTGGGTTCATCGTTGGTTGCTGCGGGATGTCAGGCCTCCTGTGGCCCGTGGGCTTCGTCTCTCTAGTCCCTTCATGCCGAAGTTGGATTTTTCCTCGCTCTTCTTCCCTCTTCTGACGCTTTCTGGCGCTGGCTCCTCCCGCTTCCTCCATATCCCCATTTCGCCGGCGCTTCACCAGATGCACCAGCGCGTTAACCTCCGCGTCCTCCTTCTCAGTCTTTCCGACCGGCGGCGAAGGTGGGAACTCAAAGATTTCGGCTTTCCCTTCTCCCTCCTTCACCGTCTCATTGACCTCCTCCTCGTCATCCCAAGCATTCATCTCCCATAGATCTGATTGGCCCCCCCTTCGTCTCCTCCAACATCACAGTTGCCAACTGTCTTTCGAATTGAGCCTCCTCGTAACCAGCCATAACATGTCTCTCGTAGCCACTACCCTCTCCCTCAGCGGTGGTGAGCTCGTCCCCGGTGTGTCCAACTCCGTTGATGGCGCTGACGTCATCCCCTCCGTGCCTCTTGTCTCCCTCGGTGAGAAGTGGTCCACCATTGCTCTCCAAGGTGCCGGTTCCGAAGGTGAGGCCTGGGGGTGCCTCCTTCTGATCCCTCTTTCCGGTGTCCATTCCAACAGGTTGTAGGGGTAGATGTCCTCGTTGTCCCTCTGGTCCATGTCCCACGGCTCTTCCCATCGTTCTTCCTCCGATGGTTGGTGTTCTTCCCATAGGTCTTCTTCTGAAGGCTGAGGTGTCTTCTCCGCCCCTTTCTTTGCCTTTGTGGATGTCCGCGGAGAATTGAGGGAGAGCAGGCAGCGAGCCAACCGTGTGCAACCGAGCCATGCTACCGCGAGGTGGGTCAGCGCGCCAGTGACGACGAGGTAGAAAAGCCAGAAGCGAAGCCATGGCCACGCGTAAGCGTACCCATACACCTCCGGTGGCGAGGTTTCCACGGCCGTCGTCAACTCCATCTTGAGCCCCGGCTACGAAGGGTACCTGACACCGTAACGATTCGAACGAAACCGAAATGCCTACGGTACCTACCAGGTTCCACATTGTGGCCTCCCGGCAAGCCCCCCCTGCCCCTTTTCAAATCGACCCTCACGGTCGCAGACTCCAGGCCGCCGTCAAGGCTGTGTCATCCTGCCATTCGGCGGAGTCCGGACCTGGTGGATGAAGGCTGTACCATTCGACCGTCCGCTCCACTGGCGTTTCGATCGTGATGCCCTCCAGTGCTGCCGGCAAGGTAGTGCTGCTCCATGTGTCCGGCCGGGACAGAAAGTCGGCTTCCTTGTTCGCTGTTCCCGATAGGTGCACCGGTTTCAGCTCGGCCAAACCCAGCGCCTCGCACGCCACCGCCAGTTCAGCCCCTAGATAATTGAGGGCTGACCCGCTGTTGGAGAACTTTTGGGTCATGGCCAGGGCTGTGATCGAATCCGACTGAACGGATATGGCCAGGTTGACCGCCGTCAGCAGGCGTCCCCAGTGTCGTAGTGCTGCCAGGATCGCCAGAGTTTCCACAATGCCCTGTGAGCTCGATTGTCCGAGTTCGAACCCTAGCAGCTTTGCGTCTAACTCGCCCACTGGGGATGCCATCGCTTTAGTAACCCGGCCGTTCACCAACAGAATTGCCCCTAGTCCTTGAGGTGAGGCGTCCGTCAGCAAGGTCAGGTCGGCCTTGCCTCCCTTGTACAGGTTAAACTTCCGAATTGGTTTGCCCTGCGCCGCCTTGATGTACGCCAGCAGCCACGCTCTCGCCTTCTCCAGCCTCTTCACGGGTATGAGATGGTCCTTAGGGCGGCTGTCCTTCCGTAGTTCCCGTCTGACGGCCTCCGTCCCCTGCGCCACGTCCTCCTCATGGTCGTAGAGGGTGGCGTAAAAGGTTGATGTCACCCACCTTGCTCGTGGTAGAATGCCCGCCAACCATGCCACCCGCCCCGCTGCCTTGCGGAGTTCCGAAGCTGCAATCATGCCTTTCTTATCCCATGCTTCCAGCTGCTTCCTCAACTCTGCCATGAATTTCTCCGGCAACGTCAGCAACAGGTGGTCGTAGTCCGGTGCCACCAGCTTGAAGTTCACTCACACCCACGTCACTGACGCTGCCCGGGCTCCTTTTGCAAGGGACAGCTTCAGGCCCAGGGCTGCCATCGTGGTTAAAATGCAAGCCAGCATCTTGTTGCGCACCGGTAGGCGTCCGCACAGAGCCCACAAGCTGTCATCCAAGTACACCTGGTGCATGCCGTACTCCGGTGGGATTATTGACTGGACCAGCCTCGCTACCATCGCTGCCACCCTGCTCCACGTCAAAGGTGCGGTCTTGAAGCCAAAGAGTAAGGCAACGAACAGCAGCCAGTGATCGTCGTCCAGGGCTGGTGCTAGGCAATGTCCCTTCTCCTCCTCCTTGACCGCCAGATGCATATACGCGTCAGATATGTCGATCATGACCAGTTCCATAGCCCGGTCCTGCTGTGCTCCTTGGTCTGCATGCATTGCGTGCATCTTCCTCAACATCGCCACTGCGTCCATGGGCCTCGGGAGAATGATGCGCTCTGGCAGCTCTGCCTTTTTGTTACCTCCTGACCTCTTCAGGTCAATGATGATGCGCCTCTTCTTCGACCCGTCCTCCTTGTCCTTCACGATGAGTCCCAGCCGGCTTATCGTCGTGCCCTTGAAACCGGCCTCCTCCACTTCCTTCTTCCTCACCTTCACCGCATAGCCCAGCTTGCAGAGTCTGCCCACCTCGATCTCCGCGTCCTCCGCCTGTTCCTGTACCGAGGTGTAGTTCCCGATGTCCTCCCTCAACCCTTCGGCCGCCTGTATGTCCCCCAGCGTAGACTTTTCCTCCGGCTTGGTTGAAGGAGGGAAGATGCCACACGTCCTAATGGGACAGTTTATCCCCAAAGGAACCCCATCCCTGATCCAGCGGTGAACCTCCGTCTCCGGGTCGCCGCCCCTCCTTCCCCAAGCCTCGAATAAGTTGCCCTCCAGCGGAGAGGTGAACGACCACTTGCCCTTCAACCTCAAGGTGCCCCCTCCTCGAGCACCTGTGAGCTTCCTCAATTCCTCCTTCCACCTTTCGATCATCCTCCCTTCGAGGCTGCAGTCTGGTGTGCCGTAGCTTTCCCCGACCTTCACCGCCATGGGGTACTTGTTGCAATGCCTGTCCCAAGCGCCCAAGATCTGTCTTCCCAAGTTCTGTAGTGTTGGAAGTCCTTCAACCACCTCCGTCGGGTTCTTCAGCCCCCCGATGAAAACCTGCTGCCCCAGGTCCTGTTCCTTCTTCTTGTCCTCCTTCAGCAAGCCGTACTTGCCTTCCCCTGGCTTCCACCTCAGGTCCTGTCTATCGTTCTTCTCTCCTGGACCCTTCGTGGTGTGCCCTTTTCTCCTGCCCCTTGACCGAGACCTCACTTCCCTCCTCACTCCACTGCCTCTCGCCTGCCCTTCGTCGTCACCTTGAGCGCCATGAGCCGCCTCCTTCTTCATCTCTTCCCTCCTCTTCGCTTGCAGACGAGCCCTTTCTTCCTCCTCCTCTCTCTGCCATTTCCTCTTCCTCTCTCTCACTTCGAGCGCGTCCTTGACCGGTGAGGGTGATGTCTTTATGCCTTCTCTCCTCCTCACGTCTCTCGCCTGCGAGGCCTCGGCGTTGCTTGTCGCGATGTCATCGTGGTCTTGTTCACCTTCCTTCAACCTCCCCTCCAAGTACTCCGCCGTTGCCATCTTCTCGAAGTGCTGCATGAGGAGGTGTGCATAGGCGTTGCAAAGCTCCCACGGGTATTCGCCCGACTCCTTCGACTCCCTCTTCCCCACGATCGGCCGGTGAGAGGCACTGCCGCACTTGCACTCCCTGTCGAGTGACTCGATCCCGTACAGCGACCCTGCGAACTGCTGGGGCTTCCAATGGCGGTCACCTCGGCTCCTGCTCGATTGGTATGCGCAGGTGTTGAACAGGGAGATCTTCACGCCCGGTAGACGAAGGTATTGCACCATCTCCTTCATGCCCCAGGTCGACAGGTGTCCCTCCACCTCCGAAGGCGGCGGGTTTTCCAAACTCGTAGGCTTCACCACTATTGACGTCGTCGGTGACCTCATGACCTCCTCCGCCAACTGCGTCGATCGAGCCAGCATCACCGTCCCTCTATCGCACTCCCTCTGCTGGGCCTCGTTGTTCGAAGCCTTCCCGTATGGTTCAGCTCGAGTGCGGACGGGTCCGGGTAGGCCAGCTGCTTCTCTAAACCTCAGGCGCGAAAACGTCGAGCAGGGAAAGCCGGCGTGAAACCCATCAATCAGGCCTTCCCGGGCCCAACGTAGATGGGTGTTGTATGGTTCATCCGCACAAAGGTCCTGGCCCCAATCTCGCTCAGCGGAGATCACCTCGACGTTCAAGCCCTTCTTCTTGGCTATCCGATGGATCTCAGCCCCCAGTGGATCCCTTGGGCCTGCAAAGTGGTGGAGGAAGCGGAACCTGCGCTGTTTGATGTACTTCGCAATCTTCTCGTCCAGGGCCTTCTGGTTCTCTTCCTTCTTTGGGCGCTCCTTCTCTTGGTCCTGCTTCTTCTCCTCACCGCCTTCATCGCCTCCTTCGTGTCCGCCTTGTTGAGGTCCGTCACCAGTGCTCTTCACTTCTTGCCCTGACATCGATGCGCCGGATGACCTGGCGACCCGCATGATGAGCACTTGTGGATCCGCTTGATCGTGTTTGCGCACTCGGCTCCAGCTGGCAGCGACCCACACGGCGAGTTCCCGTTGTTCCAGGAGAAGCAAATAGCATCCGCTTGCTTCCCGCCACTTCCCTTTTTCCCTTTTCCTTTTCCTCCCGACCTTCGCTCGCCGCTGCCTTCGTGCCGTGCATCTCGAAGTCGTTGGAGCTCTTCGCGTTCTGCCTGCCACTTTCTCTTCTTCGCTTCCTTTCTTTCCCGATTCACCTGCCTCCTGGTAGATGAGGTAGCCGTCGAAGAACTCTGGTTGAATGCTCCCGACTCCATTGATGGCAAGAGTGCATCCGCTCCTCCTCGAACTGTTCCTTGTGCGATGGTCTCCTGAGGGGTTTGCACTCTTCCTTTTGAGCCTGAAGCCAACCACGTCAGAGCCGGGCCATGTACCTGGTCCTGCCAAAATTTCAGTTCGCCGGGGACCATTTTGAAGATTGCTTCCCATGGCTTTTTCTCTTCGAAGGCGAATGGGGCCGTCTTTCCTCCCTTCATGTCCATGTTGATCTTTAACTTCAACCTCGATAGAAGTTCGCCCCGCGCCATCTCGTCCGCTGCATACACCAAGTGCCAAGCCTCTGGGTACGCTCTGGTCAACTTCTCCACGAACAGCTCGTAGGCATGCAATGGTGCCAGGGTGCACTCCTCCAACATCAGCATGGCCGTCGTGAAGACCCGATAGCAAGCCCTCCACTGGGTGAAGTTCGCCGGACCCGGAAGCTCCTTCGCGACATAGCCATCTGCCGTCGGAATCCAGGTCTTGTATTTCGAAGCTCGTAGTGCCTTCCTGCCGAACGGGACGAACACGCCAAAGTCGCAGTACGGGGGTTTTCCCAAGCTCAACTTCTTCTTCAGGGCTGACAACTGCTCTATCGTAGGCTCCTCCTCCTCTTCGGGCAAGGCTCCCGTCATCATGACATACTTCTGGAGGAGTATCATCTTGGCCTCCTCGTTGAGTACCTCGAATTCTCCATCGTCCCCTTGGTCGAGGACCTGGGTAAATTTCAGTGTTCTTTCCTTCGTTTCCTTCACAAACTCCCCGGTTGCCGCTGATGCCCTTGCCGACGAACTCCTCGGTGGTGAAGCAGGGGAGTCGCTCCATGGGTCTTCCTCTGACCAGTCCTCCCAGGTGCCACCCCCCTTCACAAACATCATCCTCCTCGCCAGCTTCCACACGAGTCCCACCTGGGCGGCCTGAACCGCGGTCAAAGGGGTGCCGTCGTCGAATGTCGCTTGGGCCAGCGAGGCCGCGACCACATTGCCCGGAAGGGCTGCCAAGAGCCGAAGGTCGTCGTTCGGATCGCCAGCCTCGCGAACAAATGCCGTCCACAAAGCGTCGGCCACCTGGAAATGATCCAAGATGGCCGACACCGACGACATCGCCGCAGCCGCCATGGCTGAGGGGAACATCCCCCCCCAGCAAGCCGCCCGCGAGGAGCGCGACCCACCACATGACCCTCAAACAAAGGGTCAGGGCTTGAGCCAAAATGGCATACTCAAGCCCTGACCCCACCCAGACCTACCTAAGTTGTCCATCAGAAAACTCCTTCGTCTTTTTCTTGCACATATACATATATATTATAACTCTGATGCCATAGGGTTTGTTGCAAAATCAACTGGTTATTCATATGTTCCTGAAAAACATTGTAGAAAACTTGCAATTATATTCTGTAGAATTCAATGAAGTGAAATACAACAAAAAAAAGTGAAAACATTATCATTTCAGGGGGGTTGGCTTCAGCTATCAACTGAAGTTCTACCAGCCCAAACAGTCTTGTCATCCGCCTCTTGCTCTGCCCTGCCATCAAGCTACGATGTCTCCTGGCGGGCGAAAGCCCCCGAAAATCCCAGGTCAGCAATGTGGTGGAGAAGAACCGCTGTGGCGGCACCAGGCTCTTCCTGGATGTTGAACCACTAAAGGAAAAGACTTGTTGCTCCTCCGCCTCATGTTGCATTATGTTGCATGAATGGCACGTTGGAGTCGATCAGTAGCTGGTCACATTTATCCATGGTTGACGGGGCATTTGAAGATCCTTCGGGTTTCTCTCCCCACGCTCCTGAAAGCTAACAGCAACCCTTTCAGGAGTTCACAATATAGTCTGTGTGAGGGTAAATCATGGTAAACTGGTAAACCCTCATCAGAGGTCCATCCCAGCCCAGAAAACCCGTTTCTGGGCAGCTCATCTGCCTCCCCAGCCCTCCCGAAACTCCTCCGGACCCCGATAGGGCTTGTAGGACGGCGACCGCCGTGCCGCCGGTCGCCGGCCCCGCGACCGCGACCGCGACCGGCGGTCCGGAGACCGGCGGTCCGGCGAGCAGGCGCAGGGGCGGGGCACCTGTGAAGGTCAGATGAGGTCGGGCGAAAAATGAAGCGAGAGAGGAGACATCAGGCAGAAAAGGTGGCATCTTGAGCCGCTCGTGGGGCGGAGCTGTGAGATGTGAATGTCCAATACTGTAAACTGTAAACACGCGGCGGCAGTAAGCTGCAAAGGAGCGCAGAGGCTTCGGTTCAATGATCACTGACGTGCCGCTGTTCCAAAACGTTCGGGGCCGTCATTCAACAAAGCACGTACGTGTCGACAAGGTTGTCATGTTGGCCAAAACCGCAGCATCTGAGGGTTCGTTTCTTCCAAACAAGCAAGAAAATAGGATCCTCAGACCACGAGGGATGTTTCCTGGCTTTTGATATCTCCGATTGCAATGAGGGCCTGATTTTAAAATGTGATTGGAAAACCAAGCAAAAACCTGTCCAAACGTTGTGAAAATAGATGCAAATAGTAGCTTTTACCACAAACCTGAAGAAAAGGAAAACTGACGCTGCCCTGCCTGGCAAAGCCAGGGCAGACAGCTTTGAATTCACACATAGTCCCAGAAAGTTTTGTGGAAACCGGAAGCCCCGCTATCGGCTATCCCAATTTCACCAGCTCACCACCAGGTGTTTTGTGGGAACCATTCTCCCTGAAGGAGACGTCATCAGGGCACTCCAAGCCCTTGGCTCGCCCAACAAAGTGGCAACAGGCCAAACATGATTGACTTGAATTCCCCGGGGATAGACAAATCAAGAAACATCAAAGCGATACACTGTGCGTGCCTGATTTGGGGGTCAGATCATTGTTGGCCATGAAGACTCCCGAAGATTCCCTCACCACCCTTGAACTTGAGAAACCCGTCAGTTCAAAACCAAGGATCTTGCGCAGCATTGAAAACACTGAGCAGATCGATTTACAGTGCCCACCACCAACAGCCTGAGTTCTGCCACCTCCACTGGTTCTTTGGTGGGCGAAAAATCAATGATTTTGAGAATCTCTTCGATGTCCCCCTCTCAGCTTCTCGGCCGCCGCCTCTCGCGGCGGCCGCGGCTTTGGTGGCGGCCGCGGCTGCGGCCGTGCATGGGCGGCGCCTTTCCTCGGCCGGTTCCGCGGGTTTCGCGCGGTATCGTGTCAGCAGGAAAGGAAGCGAAAAGCGATCGAAAAGCGCAAGGAAAAGCGAAGGGAAACGCTCAAGCGGACGAAAAGCGAATCCGTCCAAAGTGAAAATCATTGGACTCTCTTGGGCACAGCAGAATGGTTCCTCCGTCCCTATCGGACTCTCTGGGGTCCGCGTGTTGAAAGCCTTTTTCGTCCGCCCCGCCCCGCGCGGTCCGCGCGCGTGGGCGTGGGAGTCGAGGTGCTGCCTGAAGTCCTTGAGGAAGTCGACAAAGTCCAGGAGTTCGTCCAAGGCACAATAGCTTCCTCGGTGATTTGCCGGGGGTTTGCATGGCGGTGCAAACCTGATCCGGCTAGAGCCCCTCCTTTGGAACTCTTGGTATAGTGTCTGCACAGGGCTGCACCACCCAAAAAGGATCAGGGTGGCTGCGGAGGGCTGGGGGACTGGACTCGGTGTTCGCCTCCTTTGTTAGGGAGGCCTTTCTACACCCTTCCAGGACCGCGCAAGAAAACCGGAGCGGTGGTATCAAACGTGGGACCAGTGGGCCAGGTGCTTCGATTGTGGCATGTTCTTTATGTGGCCTTGGTCTTGACATGCTCCAGTCAAGGAACATGACTTGACAGCCTAAAAAGAGCAGCACATGATGGAAGCAACTAAAGCAAACATGGGACGCGTCGAAAGCGACAGTCATTTCAGGTACATTTACAAACTATGCTGGTGCGTAGGTAAGTCAAGACTCCAATCAGTATCAGGAGTTTCTGCTGCTTTCATCTTGCAAAATCTAGAGTGTATAACACATGAGCCTTAGGTACATCAAGTAAACCTTACTCTCAGGCTTGGTGCCACCTCTCAAGGTATCATGAAGCAGGGGGGGATGATCGATGAACCCTAACAAGGGTCTCCAGGGGTGGTCGGAGTGGTTGGTGGAGAATGGTCTTCCAAGCTTGCTTTAATCTTTGCTTGGGGATGGAGCTTCACTCTTGAGATCACCCCGCCCATGGCCACGTGGTCCTTCTGGGGAGCTCCAACGATGATATTGTCCATACTATCCCAGTCAACCATTGGCAATAGCAAATGAAGAAACCCTAAACCCTAAACACCTGCACCTAGTCACCCTGGTCCTGGACCCACAAATCCATTCTGACCGAGTCACGAAAGATCTGCTGGGTCTCCTGGAGTTGGATGATCTAAGTCCCCGCATCATCCAAATGTCCAGTGAACACAAGAACAAGCAACAAGGCTACAGCCCGTACACCTGCACACATGTGTCATGAAAACGCCAAACGAGGGATGTCCACCCTTATACTGTGAAGTGAGCAAAAAATCTATGAAACGTCTATACTACAAATCCATTCCCCTAAGTCATGAAACACGCCAAGAACGTCTGCATGACACCACCGCTCTTGCATTCATACGACGCTGGACACGCACGACCATCTCCCTACCTGCATGACTTTGGCAGGCACCACTGAGCTCTTCCTCAGGGAGAGGGCGACTGCGACGGCGTCAGACTGAAACGTTCTCGTGCCCAATTCCCGGGCGAGTCCATGTGAAAGCTGCCCTCAGCATGTCGACGGGCCGAACACCTGTCGACGGGCCGAACAAAGCAACTAGAAGTGTCCGAGATAAGCACCACCCCTCGCCACTTGTCAGTGGTCTCGTCCTTCACAGGTGATTCGAGTTCGCGTCACGTCCCCGGACGGCGTCTTGTTAGCTCCCGAAGAGGAGCGTCACGTCGTGCGCAGCGTCGCTTCCACACCATCGTACACAGCCCAGCCGTCCGCTCTCCGCCGTCGCCCCCTTGGGATCGGCCGAACCGGTCGTTCGGGCTGATCGACGGCTCCAGGGTTTGGACGTTGGCCGATGGCAGCAAGGTGAACAGAGACTGAATCTGCCCCGTAAGCAAGAAGGTTGCCAATGTGCTCCGGACATTTAAGGTGGGCAAGCTTGTCTCATTCCAGCCATCTCTTCTTCTAGATGCTTGTGCCCAAAGAAAGCTCCAAGAAACCGGTCCGGTGGCACTCTCCGGTAGCATCTCCTTGAGCAAGGCTGGAATGTCATGGACCGCCTCCAACCTCGGAAACATCGACCACGTGGCGGACGGAGGAGGTGGTTTGACTCGCCCCTGGAGGTCGTTTCCCTCGCACCCTGGTGATCGCCAAGTCTATGCAGCTGAGGTGATGCTCGTCTGAAATGATTAGGCACTTAAACCTGTGGAAAAAGAATCTCATGAGGCCTGATCAACTCAGATTCTTCAGTGATGTGTTACTCCCACTGCTCCGGGGGCGACTGGAGGGACTTAGGCCACCACTTCAGGGACTCGTTCCACAAACTCCCGACGCCATGCTTCGCCCAGACTCTTGAAGACTCAAGGACCATTCTCTTGAAGACTCAAGGTGAATTCCCCCCTACATGGATACCACTTGGGGGAGTTCACGTAACATGATCCCCTTCGGCTGCCACGAAACCACATCACTTTACGCCCTGCCACACACTCCTTGAACATGTTCAGCCTGAGTTCATCTGAGTTCTGCCTTCCAAGCATCCTCACTATTCCAAACCCAACCATCCCATCAACCATCCTCCCCCCCGGTCGAAACCGGTCCGGGTGGCGTCTTCTCCCAGTCCATCCGCAGGCCGCGCGCTTGGCGGCCAGGGCCCACCAGGCTGGATAAGGTCAAGGCCTCTGTTTGGGACGCCTCAGCCAGACTTGGGACGATAGGATTTGGCCAATGCTGGTCCAAATCGTGATCGTGGACTCTGAAAAGCTGTAGAGGATTGTAAGAGGGAGGGCAAACCAGGGCGTTTTCCGGATAAAATGTTCAGCAGCCCAAAGGCTCGTATTGTGGTGCGCAGCTAAACAGAAAGACTTCAGATTGTTTACCAAACGCGTGGGGATCCAACACCAATGGGCGGGATGGACAAAAGGAAAACGAAAACTTGAGGAGCCAATTGGATGCTGGCCCAGCCTGCTGAGCAGGAGAAAGAGACAAACGGGTCAAACCTCTCCGGCGAATCAAGTATTACCACGGACACTTCCGCAGGTATGGCTTCTGAGGTCCTTTTTCAGTTGCACTGCCATGCCCCTCGCCCCTCTTCTTCCCCATCTTGCTGGGTTGCCAGCGCACAAAGCCGTTCAGCCGCATTCACCAGCCAGTCTGCTCGGGAAAAGATCCGCAAGGAGAGACCCTCCTGTTGACCCACGCCAGGTGCCGAGCGCCAGGTGTCGAGCGGGCGAGGCCAAGAACGACACCGTCAGCGACTAGGCGACACAGGTGACGCGAGAGGCACGTGCTCATGGTTCCACTCCGAAAAGTGGCCGGCTGTGCATAGCTGTGCTATTCGGGTTGCAACTGAGTCACTGGGTATGTCAGAAGGGGAGAGATGGCAAGACACCAAAAGAAAGTGTACTGTCTCAAAATTGGGATATCTTTCAACCACTGTGTGCTCAGCTACTTTCCCTTCCACCAGGGCCCCCCCAATTCGGATAGCCACACCGAAAAGCCACACGAGTCCCCTTGGTCAGCCACATGCTCACTCAATCCTAGGGTCACTTCATTGGACACCTCTGCCAACCTCCAACCTTTAACCGGGACACGAGACAGAACACCCCATTTGAACACCCCATTTCCTTGCTCTATGACGGTCCTACACCGGTCCTCCTTCACCTCTGCCCGGATGAAGCATTGGCTTCCCTTGGTCTGCGCCACCGCCTCTAGAAAGCTCGAAGTCTGCGCACGCCAATCCTGGCAAAAACCAAAGGCTGACCTTGTTGGAATATCCTGTGCTTGGAGTTGAAGAAGCTTTCGTAACTGGTCTACCTGACACAGGGAGGTTGAAAGGGCCTCCCATTTTGGAGCGGTGTTGTTGTTTCGTCGAGGGTCATAAAAGGATCGGCATCACTTGCGATAGAATCCAAGCGGTGCAAGGCTACTCAAAGCATTGAGGCTCTCACACGGCATTCGCACAAGTCCTGCCGAGTCAGATCTTCTCCAGATTGGAGTTCTTGATGAACCGAAACCCAAGGGATGTGTCTTGAGGTACACTAAAGATCATTGCATTGTCCTTCAAAAGCGCAACAAATCTGCACAAAGTCTGCGAAACAACTACCACCTCTTCATCCACCCCCACGCCACCCCCACGCCGCGCTGGCGGGCCACCTCGGCGGTGGGCGCCGTGGGCGCGGTGCGTCGGCAGAGCAGTCGCGTGCAGAAGAGGAAGCTCGGCAGCCGCCGCAGGGCGGAGCGCAGATCCTTGGACCTTCGGTTCCCGTCGCTTCGGACAGCGGCACCGACGGAGTGTGGAGCGCGGAACCGACGGAGCGCGGGGTTGGATAGCTCGTGCTGGAAGAGGAAGCAAATCATGGAACAGCATGGGATTCAGATCGTGCACATTCGTGGGCAAACCCCCTCGCCGGAATTTCATCTGATGCGCTGGCGCTTCTGTGGCCAAAATCATGCGACGTCCAGCCAACACCCATACCCTTGCGAGAGTCTGAATTCTTGACTCCTTTGCAACACGACACCCAATTCATCCCTATCTCTGGGCGCCTCCCAATGTCGACGCTGCAATCATCGCCGAGGAAGCGGCAGGTCATACAGCGGATCTGATCCTGGCAGCTCTTGGCTTAGCTGTAGACTTGGCTTGGCCGGTGAATTCGAACCAATCAGCACCAGTCAGCTGTTTCGATTGGAAGCCAAGTGATTGGAGGCGTAGGCCTTTCAGAAACCAGCTCCGACCTCCTGAAACCACCCTCCACGCATGGAACTCGTGTCACCCGGTGGAAAGGGTGGCCATCGAAGAACACGGAAGACGAAGAACACGGAAGATCAGGCCTAACCTGCTCAACCTCTCCTTTGGTTCGAGCAAAATACATCGAAAGGACGTCTTGTTTTTGTCTGAAGATGTCTGAAGCCCCGAAACCTGGCTCAACCCCAACTACCCTCACCCTCACCACCCCCCCCCCCCCCCCCGCTCCATCCGCTCCAAGGCACATGACCCTCACGCATGGTCTGGTCGCTCAACCCGCGGCGCCAGTCGAAGCTCGAAATCAGCTTGGCCAGCAATTCCCGCGGGTGCAGGATCTGCGTGTCACAGGGCGCCTGAACGCGCTACGCCGCTCGAGCACGCGCGCGAGCTGGCGCAGCTGGCTCCGCTTCTCGGTGCTCGGACAGTCCGCACCGCGTTTGGGGAGGGCGGTCGGGGCCTGCTAAGGGAAAGCCTGCTGACCCCTGCGAGGCATGAGTCTTCTCTCTTGTTTTTGTAGGTGGAATAATATGTGAGATCTAATTGGGGAACATAGTTGGTGGGCGACTACTGAACGTGATCAAGCTAACCGGCTGCCCAGTCTATTTCATCAACACTAAACCATATAACCTGCTCCAAAAACTCAGTATCTCCACTGTCCCCTTGTCCAAAGAGACCCACGGTTTCTTGACAGAGCAGCGGGAGAGTGGTCCAAGGACACTTCGATCACTTGCGGAACTGCGGAACTGCATGCCGACCAGCCGTGGACACGCACAGGGCACGTCTGGCGGACAGGGCACGTCGTCTGCACCTCTCGATGAGCGGACCTCGCACCGAGCGGGCTCTGAGCGCCCCGGAATTCGCGGGGCGAACGTCCGGGGGCGAGGTCCGGGCTCAAGAGCTGTCAAGCGTTCCGGTTGTCTTCAAGCGTCTTCAGCGTCTTCACACCCTGAAGGGTCACCCTCTATTTTTTTTAGTTGATCAGATACAAGAAACAGCTCAGAGAAGCCTGCCAAACATGTCAAAAGCCACCCAAAATCAACGACTGATTAGAAACCTGAGAGGTGTGTTCTGCTGGAGGACCCCATGTTATCCAGTACCATCTGCCACAGAGTTCGCAAGATAACCACCATTCACTAGTAGCTACCGAGTCAAAAACCAGCTGTCGAGTCCACCAGGACGAATTGGATGAGCTTCAGTCCTTCTTGTCCATATCATTCATGACTTTTCTCAAGCGCTGTAGCCGCTCGTCTGCCCGGTCCGCGATCTTGTCTTCCAGGTCCAGCCTGGAAGACGGAGACGTTCTGATGGCCGCGCCAGATCTATTCCGGTAGGAGTGTTCTATTTCATTGGTTCCAATACATCTCTAGGCCGCAGTCACAGTCTGAAAGAGATTCTTAGTCACTTTTCTCTGATCAATGGTGGTGAATGGACCTTAACAAGTTGACCTGAGTGGAAGGGGTGTGAAGAGAAAGTTGCTCGTTCCAAAATCAGAACCTGAAGGATAGGCACTTGGGAACCTTGGTGGGCAGTAAAAAGCAACATGCATGTCTGGACGCTCCACTATCTTCACTGGTCCTTGCAGTCTCTTGGATTTAAAAAGGGACGAACAGGCGGCCCAACAGCTTTACTCACCTTGCACCTCCCCACGCACCATTTCACACCACCATCGATGAGTGACTGAAAAAGCAGGAACTGCGGAAGACAGCAGTTCGTGGAAGACGACTTCGATGCCCAACATGACGGACCAAGCTTTCAGCCAATTCGCCTCTCGGAGTCCCATTCGTTCTCAGTTTCAACACCACGACCGACGAGCGGCCGACGCCCAGCCACGCCCAGCGCCGTCCGGATCCAAGCAGCTCCACCGCGAAGTCGACCTCCGCCGTCACCACCGCGCCGTGCGCGTCGCGTTCCGGTGCACACCTGGGGGGCGATCGAACGGAGTGGAACGGGAGTGGAACGGCGGAACCCGAAAACGCCCCACGGGAGGTCCAGTCCGTGAGGAACGGGAGAGTGAATCAGCATTTGAAAGCTGGATTTAGCCGTTGTCAGGCCCATGAGTAGAGTTTGAGCCCATGGTCACAGGTGTTTTGGCCGTTTGACCGTGGATCTCCAGCGGCTCGTCTTTGCCCGCGCGCCCCATGGGTTCAAAACTGAGACCCGAAGCTCCGAACTCCGAAACTCTGAGCTCCTGCTGGCGAGTGAGGTGTTCCCAATCCCTCCCACCACTGTTTCTGCTCAGAAACAGCACCGTGAACTTGATCTTTCCACGAAGCAAAGCCTCGAGGCGTGGAGGGCCACCCTCTGGGTAGACCGTAGCAGTCGAAGACCAAGTCCGGGTAGATGGTTTGAAAGAAACGAATGCGACTCATATGACCCTCTGCAGCATTCAATCCACCCTACTCCTTTTGTCCATCCAAACAATCACATCGCATTCAGTGCGAGTCCCAGTGTACTGCTGCGGCACCGGCCAACCATCCGTTCACCCCCTCCCCCGTCGCTGTCCGTCGCTGTCCGTCTCACCCCACCGGCGCCTGCAACTTGGCGTCCGCCTCTCCAGCCCGCATGCTCCCCGTGAACTCGGCCTAGACGCGAGCGCAGACCGCTCGAGGAGGACGGGCTCGGTCTGCGCACCGGGCGGACGGTCCGAAGAGCTCGGTAGGTCAGGAAGTTCGGTCAACACAAGGACCTATAGGTAGCTCATTTGTGGACTTCTTGATGAAGAAATCGGAGATGTTCATTGAATCAAGAGTCCACAGTGACGTTGAGACTCAAAGACCTGCTGAACTGCCAAGTTCACGGACAAAACGAACGGCGTCCAATGCACGCCTTGCAAAGAGCATCGACAACATGCCACATGCTCTCCACCAATCCTGCATCCTGCCGAAGCGTGACGAAGCGTGCTTTCGACACAATGAAGAGGCATGTTTCAACACCAGGTGGAAAAGAGCGGGGCTGTTTAGAACCAAGAATAATTACCATCCCTACTCCTTAGGAGGGGGGGACCACCAAAAATGTAACTTGCATCTTCTGGGCAGGGGGTGCCTGAAAATGTAAATTTTACATTTTAGGGCTATTTATTATCAACAAAAATGCAAGTTACATGTTTGAGGTCAAGCATGGCTTGAACAATTGGGAACAGGACGTACAGGGTGGAACAGGCACGCACTCTCTTGATCCGTGAAACACATCGAGTACGACCCACCTGTCAACTCTGTTCTTTCTTTCTTTCTTCCCTGTCCTGTTCATGTCCTTCTTTTCTTTCCTTTCCCTTCTGTTGCTTTCTCATAATATCTCATAATACAATTGGATTTCAAGTGTTCCAAAGTGTCCTGAGGCGTCCTGATATGCAGAGTGTCAAAGAAATCAAGTTACAATTAACCCCCCTCCCTTTACACCCTTTTCCAGGGGGGAGGGTGTCCAGAAAATATAACTTGCGACCTTGGAGGTAGAATCTTACATTTTGGGGGGGGGAGGTCCCCCCTTATTTTCACGACCTCAATAAATGTAACTTGCATATTTCCTGGTCCTACCCCCCCCCAAGAAAATGCAAGTTACATTTTCAGACGCCCCCCTTCATTTCCAAGCGGGAAGGGGTAGTGATTAATTACCAAGATCTGTTTCTATGCGGATTTGGCCGAAATAGTGCCTCCAGATGGATGGCGCTGCCTGGCAACTAATGGCAACTAAGGCAGGCTGCTGCGCTACATCACTTCTTAAAATTTGATGTGGAGAGCCATGATGCGCAACCTGAATTCATGAAGATCTAGTCTGAGTTGGGAAGCTCACACTCTGAGCAAAACAATGCCAAGAAAGGGATAGAAAGGGTGCCCCGTTGCTCAAGGTGTCAATCAAAAGAATCTCTGAGAAGTTGCGAAGCTCCTTGTTTCGGTCTCGACCTTCATCATCTTCCAAGGACTTCCCTTGACCTCAGCGGGCAAGCGTTTGATTTGCATGCCGTTTGCTCATATGTCAACCCTGAATACTTCCCATTTCGCCGGAAATGGACTGAACCAATCTCATTGATCTAGTGCGATTCTAGTGATCTTGTGACCGTTTTGAGACCCAAGTCCTTTCCACCAGGCAACCAGGATTCACCTCGCAATCACCTTCGGACTCCGCGACCGGCCACCCGGACTCCGGACCGCCGCACCGCGGTCCCGAGGACGCGGCGGTAGGCGATGTAGTCCCGGAGCCCATCGTGCTCGAAGAACTGGGAGAGAAAGCGGATTTCGGAGCCTCAGGTGATTGGATCAGAGAAGGGAGGCACCAAACCAAAAGGTTGTAAAAGATTGAAGAGCTTGCGCTCTCGCACCACTACCAGAAGAAATGATCCCAATCATTGCAGTTCTGGTTTGACAGGTAAAGACTCTCGTATTGGGAAGGATTCGTTCGAGCATGCCTGGAAATCTAATCGTTTGTTTCGGCGCCGTCCGAGCAGTGTAAAACGGCCGGACCAGCCAAGGATCAAAACGCTCGGCGACCAGTGCATGTCTTCCACTTGGTTCATCCAATACGCACCCGAACGAGCTGGCCGTCCTTCACCGTATCTGATCGTTGGCTAGCACGAATCCAAAAAAGGATCAGACTCGCCACGGTATCAAGTGTTTCCACCACAAAGTCCTAACGGCCGAAGGAGTTCGAATGGAACATCAATTTTTTTCTTGTGCCCCGTCGCTGCCTTCACCAACTCCCTTGACATCTGGAACCCAAGTCCACCAAGTGACCCACGAAGTCCACCAAGCGGTCCTCAACGGCATGGTGAAACGGAGCACGGCGCGCAACACACACGGCGCGGCGGCGTGACGTGCCGAACGTGGCGATACGCGAGCGGACTCGTGTGTTTGTTTGTGTCTGGTCTCTTGCGCACAGGACTTCGGAGGGCCAGAGGAGTTTCGTTCGTTTGGCTACATTCCAACTATACTTTCAATTCACCCCCATAAAATTAGACCCGATTAAATCTGGGTGCTTCTGCACCACCCGGATTTGTTTTCCAGCCATAAGAATATTCTTGTCAGGTATGGATAATGATTCAAGACTTACTCTGTATATGTCTAAAATTAAAAAACTGAGCCAGCCCCTACATCTCATGCTTCAAAGCTGTTTTCCCGAGCTTTACATCCCACATTCTTCGCAAAAATCACCGGCACCTCCAGCTCCATCGTGGCCCAGCCGGGCGCCACATGCTGTGCAAGGCGGATCTTCACCACCTGCGAGGCCGCGGGGTAAGGCCGGGCCGTTTCGGCTAGTAGATTCCTTTGCTAGTAGGAACAAGTGCATCGCTAGTAGTAACAAGTGCCTTACTGGCAGTAACAAGAAGCTAGTAATTACAATTCTAATTAAATTTTTATTGTTACTAGTAGTAAGGCACTTGTTCCTAGTAGCTTCTTGTTACTACTAGTAAGGCACTTGTTACTAGTAGCGATGCACTTGTTCCTACTAGCTTCCTACTAGCTTTCTCGAGAAACGTGCAAAGGCCGGAAGCAACGACAACCAGCGACCACCATGACCAGGGATATCGAGAGAACCAACACCCGCCACGAGGAAAATTATCCCGGCAAGCGACCCCAATCGGTGTGTTTACCTGTCTACGGTCTAGAGGTGTAGAAGCAGAAGGTCTAAAGATCTAGACGCGTTGGGTTCCAGGACACTACGACCATGAAACGAAAGCCTGGGGTTTTCAAGAGATGGACTTTGCCTGGTTCCAGACATCTCGAAAGAGTCTTCCCTCCTCTCTCCTCCCTCCTCTCGCCTCTCTCCTCTCTCCTCTCCTCTCGCCTCTCTCCTCTCGCCTCTCTCCTCTCTTCTCCTCTCTTCTCTCTTCTCTCTTCTCCTCTTCTCCTCTTCTCCTCTTCTCCTCTTCT